CTGCTGCTGCGCAGTCAAGCTCGACAAACATGTTTGTTGAGAATACGTGTTCACTCAGAGCGCTTTCGGTGTCTCAAACAGACGCTACCGTTAAGTCGAACGTGTCCCCCTACAGGGGAATTTTCAACGACAAATAAAACATACCCTAAAAATAATCAAACAAGAAAACAAACATAGTATGGGGACTATTTGTTAGTATGTGTTTACCCTTTGCTTATGCTTCGTCGAAGACCCCCCTGTAGGGGGACAGGCCCGACTTAATGCTACCGCTGCAGCGTGGGCCTGATCTTAGGATCGGCGCTCTGATCCAAGCCATGGCGCTCTTGCTCCAGCGCGGGCCGCTGCTCTGGGCCCGTGCCCCCACCGCTGCCGCCCCGCACAACATCGACCCTCCCTGACCCTCCCCTGGGCAGGACGTGCGTGGCGGCAGCAACGGTGACTTTCTGGGGGGTGCAGGTCCGCTGTGATGCCCGTCGGCGGACAGGGACGGGTCGTCGCAGTAGGAAGAGATGGGTGGGAGGGCTCCAATGCCAAGAAACGTGGCGCGGGGGTGCCCGGCTCCCCTCCTCCCTCTCCCCCTCTCACCCTTCTCCGTCCGCCCCCCTGCCAACCAGCGCTCCCTTCCCTCCTCTCTCCTTCAGTTCCAGACCCCCGAGGCCAGGATATTCTGATAACGTTGACTCTCGGGAGCGGCCAAGAGCGGGGTGTCAAAGAGGGGGGGGGTGCAAATCATGACCGGCGGCGTGTGCGCGGCCGTTGGGGGGGGGGCCAGGGAAATAATGAAATGAGAAGAGGCGCCCTGACATCTGGGGAAATGTCATGGCCCACGCCGTGATATCCCCCCCCCCCCCCGGGCGTCACCCTCCTCCTTGCCGCCCTCAGACTCTGGAGGTCTCGACCCACCCCCTGGGACCGGCTCTTCGTCCTGAGTCGTTCTCGACTGTCCCGCACCTCCCCGCGCGGCGTACTCTCGGGCCCAGGGGGAGGGCCCCGAGGACGGGCCCAGGAGAGCCCCAAGATGCTCCCGAGATGGTCCACGACCCCAACACCGTGCCTCGTTGTCGTTCTGCTTTCGTTCTCCCTCGTCGTGCCTCCACTTCGCCTCTGCTGCAAAACGAAATCGAAACGAAAACGGCCTACGAAATCGCCCAAAACACCGTTTAGGTCGACCCCTGGTCCACGAGGGCCTCGAGACGCCCACAGGTCGCTCCCAGACGCCCCAAGATGGCCCGAGGACGGCCCAAGAGGCCTCCAAGACGCCCCCAGAGACGTCCAAGAGTATTCCGAAGAAGGCCCCAGAAGGCAAAGAAAACACTGATGTTCCACAAGTGTTTGAAGGATGTGGGCGTTCTCGCTGTTCGGCTTTCCGACGCTCGAAGATAGCACAGGACGCCCCCAAGGTCGCCCAAAGACGGCCCCAGAGACCCCAAGAGGGCCCCAAGACGGCCCAAGATGGTCCCAAGACGGCTAAAGAGGCGCCCTAGCTTACCCAAGAGGGCACAAAGACTGCCTCAAGGGGGGGCCCATATGGGGAACCCGATCGGACATCTCGAGCCCTCGGCCCCAAGGGGCGCCCAGGAGGCCCCAAGAGGCCCCCCAGAGGCCCCCAGAGGCCCCCAAGAGGCCCCCGAGAGCGCTCCGAAGAGACATCCCTGAGAACTCTGACCCACATCCCAGGCACGGAGGCAGGACGGGCCGAAGATCATTTAATACTCCCCCATAATCCTCCTCGTGTTCTTCCTCGCTGATCCCCTAATCCTCGTCATCCTCATCCCTTGTGGTCATCCGCATCCTCCTCCTCCTCCTCCTCCTCCTCCTCCGCGACGCTACTCATCCCGTCGCCGCCTTTCTCGTCGTAATGCTCCCCCCCTCCTCTCCCATACATCCCATCACCCCCTCCCCCTCCTCTTCCTGTCCCTCCTCCTCCCTCCCCCCCTCCTCCCTCCGCCTATCATCCCTCCTCCTCGCTCCCCCCTCTTAACCCCGCCTCCTCCCTGAAAGACGGGGCGCCCGCCGTAGCTCGCGCGCTACGTCACCGGCGTGCGCCGAGAGGGTGCGCTTCCTGCGCCAGAGCCGCCGCGGCGAGGGGGGGACGGAGGGAGTAGACGTGGTTGGGGGAAGGGCTTCGAGGAGGGGGGGGTCGAGGAGGGAACCGAGGAGATGATTAAAGAAGAAACAACGCCACAAACGTCAACTTCTGGCGCTCCGCGCGGCTTTCTTGGATCTGCGCTGGACCCCCTCCCCGGCGCTCGGAGCGCGCCAGGGGCGGCGCTGGAGGCGCCGCCGGGGGGGGGGGGCCAAGCACGGATCCAAGAGATCAGCGCGGAGCGCCAAAAGTGTATGTTTGTGGCATTTCTTCCTTCTTCGAATGATACCGATGGGCGGAGAGGATCGAGAGTGGAGGCTACCACCCGGCGGCCCCAAAAAAGAAGAGAGGAGATGGGAGGGCCTGACGAGACGGGGGGGAAAGAGATGCCCACCACGACAGGGGAGTCGAGGGAGCGGAAGGGCATGGAGCTGGAGCGGGGCCGGTGCGTCCCCAGGCCGAAGCATGCCGGTGAGTCGATGGGGCACGTGCTGGTGGAGCCCAGGATGAAGTCGCGCCTGTCCTCCTACAGGCGGATTTCGGACGAATTATGAAACATAGTCAGAACAAATACCAAAATGGGCGAAAAGTAATCAACAAATCGTCCCCTGAGTATGTTTCTCACTATTTTTGAGTATTCCTCCTGGAGAGGGACAGGCCCCACTGAAGCCCAGAGGGGGGGGGGGGCGCGAAGGGGGGCGGCGGCCTCCGAAAGCGCGGCGGTGCTCCTCTCAAGCAGAGGGGGGGGCCTCTTCGATGACGAACGAGCAGCACACACCCACACCCACAGGGGGGTCGTTGGGAGGAGGACTGGCTATGGGTATGGGTGCGGATTGCGGGACCCTGGGGAAGGCTCCCGCTCGAGCGGGGACCCCCATCCGACAACACGCACCCATAGCCCCCTCAGACCCCCCTATGGGTATGGGTGTGTGTGTGTTGTTGGTTCGACATTCGAAGCCCGCCTGGCTCTTGAGAAGCCTGCTTCGCTGGAAGCCTCTGGGTGCCTTCTGAAGGGCCCCTGCCGTCTCAGAGGCCCCTCTGCCTACCCTTAGGTCGGGCATGTCCCCCTACAGGCAGATTTTTGCAAAAAATAGTCCAATGCCTCAAAATGCTTCAAAATATGTTTTTTGCTTTCCCTACCTAGGCTCTGCCTAAAAGGGTTCTTACTCTGATTGCTTAAAGGGCCGGGCAGTGAGGCACGCCCCGGGCGGTTCCCCCGGCATCCGTCCCGCGGTTCCCCCAGTGACGTTCCCTTAGCTTCGCGTTGCTTATCTCATATTAGCTTAGCTTATTTCATCGTACCTTAGCTTAGCTTCATCTTACCTCAGTTTTATATTAGCTGAGCTTACCTTCATCTTAGCTTCGCTGAGCTTTAGCATAGCAGAGCACAGCACAGTATAGCATATCGAAGCATAGCATAGCGCAGCATCGCATATCATAGCATAGCCCAGCATCGAATAGCAGAGCGCAGCATATCATATCATAGCATAGCATAACATAGCATAGCGACGCTTAGCATAGCATAACATAGCACAGCATAGCTTAGCATAGCGTAGCATGATATATCATAGCTTAGCATAACTTGGCATAGTAGCATAGCATAACATAGCATAGCGCAACATAGCATAGCATAGCACAGCATAGCATAGCATAGCGCAGCATAGCATGGCATAGCATGGCATATCAACTAATGCTGATGTCCTAGGGGCTCCAACTTCTAGGTAGGGTCTCACTGGAGTAATTCTTTACAAAAAAGTCACAACCACACCACCACCAACAACAACAACAAACACAACAACAAAAACAACAACAATCACAACAACAACAACAACAACAACAACAACAACAACAACAACAACAACAACAACAACAACAACAACACCAACAGCGTCAACAACAACAACAATAACACAAAATGTCCTCTGGCTATGCTTACTATTTTTGAATATTCCCCCTGCAGAGGAGCATGCACGACTTAAGCCTACCCCTCGCGCCACTCCCTTATGGGCGCCGCCAAGTGAAAACGCGCGCACGCTCCAGGTCCGAGGCTCTCGTTCCGCCGGCAGATAAAGAGGGACCCCGTCGGACAAAGCACGGCTTGGGATACAAAAAACTACAAGCAAGAGAGTAGGTCGTGGACCTGACGCGATCTCCAGGCGCGCACTGCACCACTGGAGAAAGAGAAACGTAGGGCAGGTTCGTGTCGTGGCGACCCCAGCGTTGGTTCCTGACGCCGCGGGGATCCTTCAACCTTGAAGGATCGGCCGTTTCCGAACCGATCCTTTCACACCGACCGATTCTGGGTCGCTGGCGGCATTCAACGTTGAACGCCGGCGGCGGGGTCGCCGCAGGTCGACACGACACAAACATATCGCACCCATACAGTAGGGGCCCGATCACAAGAAACCTTCCACAACCAGTCCAACTCTGAGACCCCACCCAGACATCCGACGCCTCGATTTGCTCGAGACACTTCCCCGGGACCGGTTTTGCATTCCGAGTCGTTGTTTGACGGTCCCGAGGCCCGGTGGGGGTCCCGAGAGGCCAAAAACTACGAAAACTTCCCTCCAGATTTTTTTCGAGACGCCCGATCTCTGGGCAAGACGTCCATTGATTCTTGGTGTGGGAACGTCACGCTTTCCACGGCAGAGCCACCGAAGCCCAGGAAACCCAGGGGCACTCTCGAGGCAAGAGGACCTCTCGAAGGGTGCGCTCTGGCCAGAAGCTCGGAGCCCGTGGCGACGGGGGGAGGGCAGCGGCGGTCATCGGCGATCTCTGCGAGGGACAAGGATCGCCCCCCACCCCCCGCCCCCGCCCCCGCCCGCCCCATGGATCCGCGAGAGGGGGGGGCTGGGCGCGTGCTGTCAGAACGGGTGGGGAGGGGGGTTCTTCGGGGGCGCCCAGGGCAGAACGTAACAGGATAAATTCAAGCAAGCTTGCGGCTGCAGCAGCCGCCGCTTCCGGGCCACCAGCGCCTGCATCCGAGGAGATTGAATAAACCGAGTGGCAGGAGCAGGAGGATCGGGCAGAGGAAGTAGGTGGGTGGGCTGGGCAGGCTCCGTCGGAGAGTCCATCCACCCCCTTGAGAAATGCCCCGTCCCGTCGAAGAGAATCCAGCCGTGACGACGAGGGAAATAACAGATGATCTGTCGAACCCTAACCACAGCGTTGTGGGGTTTTCGAATGGACCAGACATGTGGGGCCCAACCGTGGGATATACGACGGAGGGGGCGTCCATCCTCGACAGGCCTGCGTGCGAATAGCTCCCTCGGGGTGCACCCCCACAGTTCCTGTCCTTCTCTGAGCGGCTTCATGTGTCGTCGAAAAGGTCGGGAGCGGAGGAGAAGGAGGAGGAGGAGCAGGAGGAGGAGGACAAGGACTAGGAGGAGAAGGAGGGAGGACAGGGAGGACAGGGAGGAGGAGGAGGAGCAGCAGCAGCAGCAGCAGCAGGAGGAACAGCAGGAGGAGGAGGCGGAGGCAGAGGCGGAGGAGGAGGAACAGGAGGTGGAGGCGGAGGCGGAGAAGGCGGAGGCGGAGGCGGAGGCGGAGGAGGAGGAGGAAGAGGAGGAGGAGGAAGAGGAGGGGGAGGAGGAGAAGGAGGAAGAGGAGGGGGAGGAGGAGGAGGAGGAGGAGGAGGGAGGAGGAGGAGGGAGGAGGAGGGAGGACAGGGAGGAGGACGAGGAGGAAGCGGAGGAGAAAGAAGAGGCCAATTCGTCGGCCAGCTGCGCGCCGCCGCCGGCCGAGCGCAACGCACGGCACTCTGCGCCCCTCGACCGGCGGGATGTCTCTGCCGCTCTCTCGCCGGCGGAGGCACATCTCAGCCGCATGCGCCCGGCGCCCGTGCTGCCGCAGGGGCCCCGCCCTGGCTGGCCGCCGTGAAAAAAAGGCGGGGCGCGGGGAGGGGCAGGGGAGAGCGGGGAGGATCCGCGTCACGATGGGCACACACGCACACACGCACGCACGCACGCACGCACGCATACGCACGCACGCATACGCACACACACACACACACACGCGCGCGCGCATTCACACGCGCGCGCGCACGCACGCACGCACGCACGCATGTGCCCCCCCCCACACACACAAAAACACAAACACAAACACAAACACAAACGCACACACACACACACACACTCACTCTCCCTCTCTCTCTCTCACACAGCCCACACAGCCCACCCAACACACACAGCGCACACAGCCCACACACACAGCCCACACACACACACACACACACACACACACACACACACACACACACACACACACACACACACACGCACGCACGCACGCACGCACGCACGCACGCACGCACGCACGCACGCACGCACGCACGCACGCACGCACGCACGCACGCACGCACGCACGCACTGTTGTGCGTCGCGGCCACGTGCGCGGCGGCGCGGCGTAGGGGACTCGCACGGGAAACCGATGCAGCGCACGGGCTGGGCAAGCCCACGTAGCTTGGAGAGGGTGGATTCGCCAAAAAAAAATATGACAGAAACATTTGCCATGGGGGCAGTCGCGAGGGGAAGGCGGGAACGGGAAAAAAGAAGAACATCCACACACACACACAAAAACAAACAAACAAGCAAGCAAACAAACAAACAAACAAACACCGTCCCTCTCCTCTCCCTCGTCCTGGTCCTCCCGGGTCTCCAGAGGGCCACATGAACGGCCACGAGAGGAAGAGGAGGAGGAGGAGGAGGAGGAGAAGGAGGGGGAGGAGGGGGAGTCGAGAAAAGGGAGGAGACAGGAAGGTGAGGGAGAAGGGTGCGGATAAGGGACGAATGAGGGAAGAAGGACGGAAAAAGGAGGCAGACGACGACGATGAGGCAGCAAGAGGGAGGAGGCAGGAGGCTGGAGGAGCGAGGGGGGGTTTTCAACAGGCGCGGCGCCAAGCGTGCGGGGGGGGAGGAGGAGAAGGAGGAGGAGGTGGAGGAGGAGGAGGAGGAGGAGGAGGAGGAGGAACAGGGAGAGCACAGCAAGACTCGGGCACATGCCCGACAGAGGGAAAAGAGCCCGAGCACCTCCCCAACCTGGGGGAGTGCCAGCAGGCGCGGCCAGGAGGCCCACGCGCCGTCGGCGGCATCGCCCTCGACGATCAGACCACCGACCAGGGCGTCGAGGACGAGATCCGCGAACGGCCGTGGCCTCCCCTGGCCGCTAGCCATGGGCAGAGGCAGGCCAGTGCGGGGGTGCTGCCCTGCGAACAAGCGCCCCAAGCGGAGCTGCGTCTGCGCATGGAGCTCGGCGTTCTCACTCGAGTGTGCCCCACACCTCGCGCAGAACAGAAGGAGCCCACGCCCCAGACGCGGTGGCCGCCGCCGGGGCTGCACACCGCAGGCGAGAAGGCCCCGCGCGCCCTGGCGACGCGGCAGCAACGGCCGCATCGGAAGCCCTTGCCACGCGGCACG